GGTCCTTTGGACTGCATAACATGGACACTGACGTATTCCCTATTGCGATACTTTACTTAGGGTTTACGGACCGCGCCCGCGCAAGGACGATAGGTCGCCATTGTGATATTTCCGACGGATAATGGCGCACCGACGTTAAAATGATTTCTGCCGATTTTGGGAATGTAGGACCTGAATTTTTGCATGAACTAATGGCCTCGGTATAAGAACTGTTGGAGACAGCACATTGAATTGCTCATGAATTAGTTAGTAGTGATAGCTAACCTGCAAAGCATCTGCCACATTCTGTTCTCCCTCACCTACATAAGTCAGGCATCAATGCGAAGTCAGGACGACAGGAGGCGGGTTCGAACACAGGCGCTGACAAAGCTGAGCTGCTCGTGTATGTTCGCTACACACGGCCTGGCCGACGTTCAGCGGGTCAGAATTTTTCGAAACAAGAAAATGGCGTTGGTCTCGGGTTCGCAAGAGTGTTAAGGAAATCGTTTTCGGAAGGAGCCATTGGACCCCACTCTCAGTCTTACAGACAGCCACCACAAATCCACACACAGTAATGACCACTATAATCGGGTCGCCCGGCAGTTGATAGCCTTTCAGAGCATAATCTTTGGGGAGTCCTGATGTATTGAGGCCCACCATATTTACTTTGATAAGGAGTATTCTGAAGTACCGTTGGGGTGGGTTCCCCTGCGCCGGTCCCACCCTCTCTTCCCTGTCCCATGCACCAATTGACTGTCCGGACCTGACAACCATTTGGTGAATTTATTGGAGCAGTGGCTGATGGAGCTGTGACCTTCCGTCTGCGTTTGCCACACGAACTTGTAAGGGAGTAAAAAGCCAGGGCAGAGCATGGAATATACTTCCCACCCACGCAAGAAGTGCATGTTCTGCGCGAGTTGTCGGTGATGTGGGGCTCGTTACTTCTGTACTGGCTGTGCGTGGGCTGTTAGAAGAAAGGAGGTGCGGTCACGGGATTTCAACCGCGGTGTTTTGCCGCAGACTTTGTAGGAGCGCATATGACTAAGTGGGCCAACTCTGTGACCGAATGCCCGTAGGCGGTGTGAGCAGTCGAGGCTGGCACAATAGGCTATGTTGGCGCTTCTAACGCTAGCTCGCCAGAAACAGTGCGATGGTTTCGCACGTGACAAATCAGGCCACTACGAAGTATGAGGGTGCGATTAAAACGCGGACAGATAGGAGCCGAATCCGCACTCCCGGTGTAGAGCCGGTCTTCGAGATGTTGGAGGTTGTGAGGGATAGCAGGAAGCCATTAAGGTCCCTATCTTCGGCGATGTTCGCGTCGCCGACACAATCGGTGTGGGTGCTGTGGAGGGGGTGATGTTGAGAGACAGGGTATTGAGAGTTTGCTCGTCAGATGTGGTGGTCGTCGACTACGTGGGAGTTATGAAAGTGGTGGTGGATGTGGGGGCAGATTCTAAGATGGGGGGAGGGTGCGGCGTCTCGAAAGTGCGTTTGGTCTGGG